TGTTTGCTATTATTTCTATTTCTATTATACATATCTATACATAATATGTTTTTCATCTATGAAGACAAGAGCCCAGGTGGAGGTAGGCTGTCTGATAGCCTCAGTCTGCCCATGCCAAGTGCTAAAGACAAGTGTTAGAGTGTTGGTGGGTTATTTGACCGGGCGGATGGGATTTTGGTGAATTTTACAGACTGAGTCACACAGAGTGATGCAATTAGCACCACTGAAAAAAAAACTTCAACTGCAACTCAGAGCTCACAGCTGATGGGCGACAACACTTCTCCTTAATCTGCTCCGTCGAAAAAACACATTTTGACAGACTCATCTTGAGCATTTGAACAGTAAGCAGACATGAGAGCTGCCCCTCCAGCCATTCCTCTGGGAGTTGCATGGTCCAGCTTATTTTTGCATCAGCCTAATAACAACCGTCGCTAAGCATATTTCTGCCTACTCTATAAATTGAAGTGGCTCTGGTGGCCGGGACATGCAGAAAAACAAACATTATAAATATCTGCCTGAAAATAGTAAGAGAAAAAGACCTTTTCTTTACTCTTAATGCAAAGTAAATAATGTCAGTCTCCTTATGTGGAGACGCTATGGGGGCATTGCATCCAGCAAAAGCATGCATTTTTTAAAAAGACATTTAATGCTCATTTTTGTGACCAAAAGTGAATGCATTAATCTGGATTCAGATTTTTCTGATGAATCATATTGTCAAGGAAAGCTGATCAGAGCCTTGGTTGAAAATTTCTAAAGAGTCCCTCTCAGGAGAAAGAGGATCTGAGAAAAAAAAAAGATCTGTTTAAAGCGAAGCCTGAGCTCATTTCTTTTTGTAGTCAGCTGACGCCAATTGCTTACATGTGATACCACAGATGTGTTTTTTTCTGTTAAGAATGCAAACTATTCACGACTCAAACTTCTGGTCTTCTTACTTTTGCAAAAAATATGATATACTGCTCATAACTTCCATGTGCGTAGGTTGGCGTAAACTAAAAACTGATGCATCCATACTGTCTCAAGCATGGAGACACCAAAAAAGTGGAAGTTTCTCCCCTTAAATCCTGAACTTGAACCAGGCCTCTTGGATTGATCCAGAACGCTCTGATTGGATGGATGTGGTTCTACATGTGATGGGCAGAGAGGGCATGTTGTATAAGCATGTTTGGCACCAGAAGCAGGAAATGGGCGGATAAAGGACAAGTCAGATGGACACAGACCTGCTGACCTACACATGATGTTTGGCTCAGCACACACACATATACAGAAAGAAAAACTAGGCTAAACTATCCTATTTTTGGGGAGGCTTTTTTCAGTCTTGGCCCTCTTTCTATCCTCCAGGCTTTCTGGAAAAGACGAAGAGAAGAGAAATGCATTTTGCACTATACACAGACCTGGCTTTATATTGTGCGCATGCATCCACAAAAGGATTTTCAGGATAATAAAGTTTACAGGTTATTTTAGACCAGGATGGTTGCAAGTTGGATTTTCCAGTTCATCAATATCACCCACTTCATGAAGAGGCTGCTCTGTGAAGGAGAGGCAGAAACAGAGGCCTGATTCTTTAGAAGTGGTCGGTCAGCAAGTCCGTTTATTGCATAACTTGATTACATTTTCCAAAATATGTGTTAGAAGAAGAAGAAGAAAAAAAAGGAATCGCCTGACTTGTTGTCAGCAGACAGGAATTAGAGAAAACCTCCATCCGGGGGAGTCCTGTAACGACAACTGCCGCTTCCGGCGGAGACACACACAAACAACTATTCAGACAAGGAAAACAGTTATAGATCCCAACCTCTTACATTCCTTCACACTCGGTGGCCCCGAGCCAAAGCGGGATTTCACCGGTGCTGCCAAACTGGCCAATTACAATTCCTCTGACAAAGTATGTGGCCCGGGTTACAGGCACCGATCAAACGCTCAATAGCATTCACAGCAGCGGCCTCAAACCTCAATTCAGCAGTTTCTGTACAATAGAATGAACTCAACATCCAATGGATCATTTAAAGGTCCACAAAAAAAAAATCTACCAACAAAAGCTTGTAAAAAGTGTTTGAAAATAGAAAGGAAAAAGAAAACTTCCTGAGTAAGGTCTAGCTGAATCAGAAAACCAGGCCCGATCACACTGACTATCATCCTTGCTTATAGTCAAAACAGAAGGGATCAAAATGAAGCCACCCAGACAGGAAGAAAAGGGAAGCCCAAGATTGCCTGGGATTAGTTTTGGATTCTTTAAATTCTTTGTTATAACATAATCAGAGTGGCCTTGATGTATATCTGAGAAAGAAGAGCAAAGACGGTTCTGTGGGAGACACACAGAAAAAAAAAGAAAAAGTCATAGGCTGGGGAGTTGTTGATGATGGGGATTTCCCATCTCAGACTCACTCCCTGCACTTGGAGAGGGTCCGAGAAATTATTTTCACCTGCTGAGTGACTTGTTCCTCCCCTCCGACAGCCCTGTGTCTCTGTGTGTGTTTCCCAAACCCAGTGCACATAAATCCGATTTGACTGAGCCACCATTTGATATTTCACAGAGCACGAATGCCTCCGGAAGTTCAAAAGGAAAAAAGCCTGCACCCGAGCTTAGTTCTGAGCCGGTATTTCAGAGTCTGGATGTTTTGCTCCTGAGCCATGACGACTGGAACCAAAACAAGTGGCAGATAACCCGATGTAACTAATTAACTGAGACTGACATTGTGGCTGCCACAGTGGATCAAACACTTCCTGATCAGAAAACGGTGGACGGCCTGACTCAAATATGAGATTATTTAAAAGGTACATAAATAAATAAACATGTCTGACAAGGCAAAGGGACAGCTGTCAGTTTCAACTACACTAATGATTTTTGGGGAACCATCAAAGCGGGGAAAAGGAGCTTCTTCCGGGAGGAAGCCTCAGGGCAGTCCCAAAACTCACTGGGGAGTCAACATCTCTCATATGTTTGGAGAGGCCTTAGTTTCCCTCTGAGAGTTGAGGAAGAGGCTGGGTAGAGACGTGTTTGGATTAGGGCTCAGAGTCGTCCCTGTGACCCAATCCAGGATGAGCGGAAATGGATGACTGGAGAATTATGGAGCGAACAGGAAATGGCTGGAGACTAAAAACTCTAAGATAAAAACTATCAATAAATAACTGAACCTTTGCTAAAGTACAAAGATGAAAAGGTGCAGTTAGAAAGCTTTGACTTCCAACAACCCAGGTGTTAAGTGTTTTACTGTGTTTCTGTTCGGTCTCAATTCTTGTTTGGCTGCTTCTTCACCAGTTCCAGTTCGACATGTAAAAATTAATCCGACTTCGGTAAACTTTAATATAATCTGTTGTATTTGAAACCATTAAAATCAGCTCCTCTCAGCAGGATAAAACTTCTCACCCTGACAGAACCAGAGTCTTAACCTTAAAAAGAAAGTTTTGGACTTAACAGTCACATTGCAAAGTCAACATAAATGGTCTTCTTACCCCCCTCCCCTCTCCATTTAGATAAGAGTCCCATTGACTCCTGTATTAAACACTTATGTGTTACCATTAACCACCAGCGTGCATCCTGGTGCTCTCTCTGCCCCTCCAACATCTGCACAGACAGCACATTTATCCCCCTCAGAAAGAAATGAAAAATGTTGAAATGCTGAATGCAGATTTGCGCGTTCTGCTTCAACCGGCAAACAAAACCCATGAAATGTTCCTTATTACCACCTCTGCAGATATGGGTAGTGCATTTTATGCACAATGGGAATCTGAGGCCAACAGAAAGAGATTTAGGCTCCAGAAGAAACGTGGGCACAAGGCAAAGTATTAACCAGATATTGGTTTAACGCATAGAGAAATAATATGACAAAAGTCCAATGACCTCATAAAGTACCACAGTCACTACCCCACGCCATCTATTGCCCCTTTCTTATTCTCTATAAAGGCTGGGAATAAAGCCCCCCCCATGCCCCATCTTCCTCCACTGACCTGCTGGTAGTTCTCATCCTCAGGCTGGAAGCTTTTATCAATGGGCTGAAACCTAAGGTTGATATGAGGAAAATTGTGAAGCCAATAAGTCCACCAGGGCGCAATGTAATCCACCCGAGCCAAAGACATCCCTGCTCGGAAGGAGAAAAAGTTAGCCTGCTCTGGTCCTCCGCCGGAGATCTTAAGAAAGTCTCACATCAAACAAAGGCAACGACAAAAGCATGCTCGGTGGAGGAAATGGTCTGTCCGCCACACATGAGAAAAAAAAGAATGCTTAGATTTGGAGAAAGCTTGAAAAGCGTTGCAGCGTTTGTGCAAAGTGCGTTTTTTTTTTTTTAAAGATGCGCTTTAAATAGCAAAAGTCACTCCGCTCCCATGTCTTCGTGTCTGCTGACCCGCAGACACTATCCGGCCGACAGCTGCTCCACACGCTACTGTCAGCCGCGGGAGCGCGCATTGATAGTAGGGGACACGAGGAAAGGCGGGGGCGCGCACAGCTCTCATTCCAAAAGGCTTCGCTCTGCCGTGACAGGCAGTGTGAGAAAACAGTTATTTGCTCATATCTATCATGTTTAAATTAATATTTTTGAGTCAGTGTTTTCGTTTTCAGACTTTGCCAATTGCCTTTAAAAAAGACTCTGCTGCCACCTAGTGCTCAGCTATCAGAATAACAGCTTGGGCCTGGGCACAGTGCCAATAACTGGTACGGTTTTATGCCCTTCATATCTACAATCCCAGCCGATTTGTGATGTTATGAATTGCCCCCCGCCTCCCACACACAAATCTAAATAATATATATGATCGCATCCGACTAAACTACCCCATAGATGCACTAATGTCCAGAGGTCTGAATACAATAACATCAGCTGTTAAATCAAATGTCATCTTGTGCATATCTTTCAAATCACATGTAAAAGCAGTGAAAAATCCATCCATCCAGGCGTCTACAAACATCTCATGCCATCCATATTCTGATTCATCGTATGACTGCAATAAAAATAGACAAAAGCCAATGATTTTTTCCCAATTTTTATTACAATTTTCTGTACATGGTGGATTTACTTCAGCTCCTTCACAGCCAGACCTATGAAGAAAACAAAGAAAGGTGGTAAAACAGTGACCAAGTAATGCATTTAAAATCACCTGTTCCGTTTCATCCTACAAATGAAAGCCCCCGTATTTAAACCTCTGACAATATAGGCTCCAACTTTTCTGACCATCAAAAACTTTTATCTTTTAAGAAAACTTTTGTTAACTAAACAGAGTGCAATAATGATATTATGAAGCCTATTTCCATTCAACATGAGTAAAACAAATTGTCATGAAACCATATTTGTTTGAATGGAAGCTTTCTTCAGCTGCAGCCGAACGTTAAAACTTTTCACAATTGTCAAGTCAGCATGTGGCTGCGATTATTCCATTCGTATTATATCATCTACGCAACATGAGCCGATTCTTCTACTCTGACTATTTCTCTACCTGCTTGTATACAAAATTCCACTAGCGACCCTACAAAGAGACATGTTCTTTATTCTGCGTTACATGTTTTAAATTAACAGTCAACGTTCACAAACCCAAACTAGCCATTCTTAAACAGTAGAAAACACAGGGAACAACTAAAAGCCAAAGCCAGAAATTAAGAAAGCAGATCTTTTTTAATTTTCCAAAAAACATACTTTCTTTTGATACCATTATCTGTGGGATTATGACGACAACCACAAGTTTGACTGCCTTGTTTTTTTTGTGAACAGGCCCTCAGATCTAAAATTGCACCTCAACTATAATTTCTGAAGTTTGAATGAAATTACAGCATCCTCTCTATGTTTACAATTTTATGTGCAGCAACAGCAAGGCTCTGGAAAAAATATAGCTAGCTACAGGACTTCCAAAGAACCATCTTGACACTCATGGAATCTAAAGACATCAGTTCAAAGGTTTAGAATTCAAATTGAATCCAATATAAGCCAGCCATCCAGCAGGGATGTGCTTGTTTGAAACAGGTCTGCCTGTTGACTTTGCTCTCACCTGGGGGCAGGGACTGCTTGAGCTTTTCTGCCTTTTCCTTGTCTGTGATGACCAGCGTGTACAGGTACCTGCTGCAGCGCACCTTGAACTTAACATTGTCCTTGTTCTTCTTGATCTTTACGGCTGAGCGAAAAAAAGAATTAAAGCACATTAAAATTCAACTTACTGGACACATCGCAGATTCAAATGCTACATTGATGTTGATAGACTTATGCTTTTTTTTTGGTGCCGCTCACAACATAAAAACACATTTGCCTACATCTTACTTACACTTGGCATCCTTCCTCCTGGCTGTAAGCAGGAAATCTTTGATTTCTTCTATCTTGCGAGGCTGGAAGAGCAAATAGAAACAGTTCACATACAGATAAAGCATCACAAACCCAGGACCACAAACTGGGAATAAATGAGGTAATGTTAGTGGACCGGTGGAACTGGAGATTCTGTTAGAAGCTGAAACCCAGCACTTGGCCCATCATTATTCTTGCAAGATTGTGAATCCATCACGGGCACATCAGCCTGAGATGTTTGGACTGCTTGCTACCGGCAACTAAAGTTAAGCCATAACGGCTTCAGACAGGCCCAGTGGCTATTAGATTTGGCTCATTCGTGTGCAATTATGATCTTAAACGTCACAAAATGTTTTAAAATGACCATAGAAATTGGCTTGTGGGCGTAGCATTTTCAACAAACACACTCTGACAGTGTTGCAGGAGTAAGACCATGAGCGTTACATGGCTAAATGCTAAAGCTACTTTCCAATGCTAGTGCAATGCTAGTCGCTTTTGCTCTTATTCCTTTATCCTGTTCAGTTTTTATACGCATTTCTACGTGATTGTAACCTCTTTGTATTTCACCTGGGATGCTACAATTATTATTGCTTGTGTATTCAAATGGAAAACAATTCTTACCATGCTGCCGTATCAGCGGACTGAAAGCTGCGGAAGGACAGCAAAAGATGGAGTCAGTTTAGCAGCTTTAACAACAGAAAGAAACAAGTTGGCGAAACAATATGAAACACAAAAGGTAGCCAAGGACATATTTAATTAGTTTTTTGGTACGAAATCCTTATCAATTGTCACTAAGAGGGACGATGGATTATGATTTAAAGTAACATTGTGTATTAGGATGAAACACTCACTCAGTCGGTCAGAGAGGGGATGAAAAGGGGCGGTACTTCCGGTTCAAAAACAATTTATAGTCAACTACGGAAAGTGCAGAATGCCAAATTTTAGATTTCGAGTTATCTTTTTCAGTGGTGGTACGAAGTGTGCCTACATAATGCATTTTTAAATTAAATTATATTAGCGCTTAGTTAATAAAGCAATACTTTCCCCCATGAAACAGCATCTCAATGTATCAGTACATTTGACTTGATGTTTGACAAAAGAGACAACAAATGACAGGGAAGAAGATTTATTCCTTATTATGTTTTTTATTTATTTTTATACCCATTCACAGATTTTTCCTAGTCTCAAATCTTGTTTAACTTCTTGTTTAACACCCGAAAATGAAGATTGGTCTTCTGAAAAGACGTAACTTAAAAGCTTTACAGCTCCATCTTAAATCTCAAGATGAGATTCTAGTGGATTTGAAGAGGTCAGGACAAGATTTACCCCCCTACATTTTTAGTGCACAGTCTAAATGCCCTTGAAGTGTTTGAAGGTGTAAATAGATTACAATGAAAATGTGTTTTTATTTTTGCTCCTAACATGTTGATAAATAGCTATAAAAGTTGATGACTATACCTCTGCCAAGGCTACTGCATCAGAGCCATGTTATAAAGTGCTTATTCCCTATGTAAAAATGGCAGCTTTTAACAGATTCTTTCTATTTACATACCCTTGAAGTTAAGCAAACATTGCATGGTCTCACCTTGTCAAAAGTGCACACATTAAAATTAGCATCTCACTTACTGCACAGCAGGTTCCTGTGATGCATATTAAAAAGGCATACCACTGAGAGGGGTCAAAATGTAATTGAATCTCTTCTTGTATGGACAAATTGAACTTTTTCACAACTATTTCTACAAAATGTAGGATTTTTCTTATGTTTTCTTTTTTAAACATGTCTTTTTATTTTATAACATTTTAAATAGATAACCTTTAAACACCAGGTTATGAGACAGCAAATTAGGCTCTATATAATCCATGCATCAAATTAAGTTAGGAATGTGCTACTTTCATTAATCTGTTGATCTGCATTAAACACTTCTTCTAGTCTTTTCCCTTCTTGGGCCAAAGAGGATGCAGAGATGATCTTATCCCAGTAGTCATGGTTTTAATTAGGAGGGAGTTTTATGTTGATGTATGTTTTTCATGCAGTGGTCCATGGAAAAGTTTGGAACTGTGAGACACCAAACACAGTTTGTTTCCTGCAAATCTGCTAAATCTGCCACATAGGATTCAGTTTACTTAACTTTCTTTGACTTAAAGTGATGTTTGGCCCTGAAATGTACGATGATTAGTTTGGAGAAAGTTGCAGCAGAAATAACTTTACTCTTCAAAACTTCAGATCTCCCATAGCTATCTTCTTGGGAATTTAGCTCATTTTTGTGCCTGAAAAACATGTTTTAGTTTCAGATGCATTGATTTTCAGCAATCATTTATTCCACCAGCTCTGCAAAATCCAAACACATGTGGTCATTCAAGTCTGAGTGACATCTTCATCTGTTTCCATGGAGACCCACTCTGACATTCAAAAAGACAGGAAACGCTGGACCAAGCCTTTTTAATTAACCTACATGCTACCTGCCTGTCAGTTTTCACAACCCATATCCCCTTGTGCGTGTACTGCTGGACACGTTTGACCATTGGACGTACAATTTTTAAGCAGCCTTGTGTCAATCAAGATGATACACGCTTTGCTTCAGATGAGGATTCCTTAGTGGAAAGACCTCCGTGACAAAAGGACCACACTGCACAAGGTGTGTTTTTTTTCTCATTGTGTCTTGCTGCTTTAGCACTTGTTCACAGTCTCAAACCATTTTCATCAAGAAACAGGGACTGAAACAAATGATTTATCTCAGCAGGGTTGTCTGCTCCTTGCTGCTGAGAAGATTATACTCTTAGGTGTTGTAGAGAGGAGGTGCAACAAGACTTCAGTAAAAAGATGATGGATTCTAACTCTGTCCTTGAAAATAATATGTATGGGAGAAGGATACACTCTGTTCCAACTCAAAGGTTTTCAGTATCAAGTAATGAACAACAGGTTTTTTGCCAGGTCTTAAGATCAGACAACTATATCATGAAATTGGACAAAAATATCTAAGTGTATTATTAGTAAAAATGTTTTAAAAACTAAGCCAAAATGCTCAAGGAATATGCCAAAAACTAAGTACCTAATCCTGATACGTCCTTAAGCTCTACTGCCATGTTCTTTAGAAAAAAAAGTGGTTTCTTTAATCCATCCAAGCAACTCATACTCATTCAGTCTTTATGATTGTCACACATATATTAAAAGCAATCCCATGTTTTTTTATTATAAAAAAGCCATGTTTTTTAAAATAAGTGATTCTTATGAAAAAATAACTTACTAGGTATCAAAACAAATATTTAAGAAAATTAGCTTGCGCTCTTTGAATGTCATAGAAGTATGTTTTCAGAATATTTTTGTGCAAGTGTGTTGATATCTCCCCGTTAATCACATAATCTGTAACCATTTTCATCACTTTTCACATTTTGAGAGGGGCAGATGTGATACAACATGGGGGATTAGCTAAATCGTACAGGTTACAGCAGATAACTGTGCTCGGTTCACCTAAAGCTCTTTTTTCACAGGTAGGATCGTTATTCCATTTGCTTGCACAGCAGCACACGCAGGCCTCTTTGCCAAACTGCTTGTAAAAGCGTAGCCTGATTTTTTTTTTTTTCTAAGATGCAGTTCTGGTTCTCTGTCAGTAGAGTGCAGTAAGTAATTGTTAAACGGGAGCCGAATGGGGCCTCATCATCACTGGTAACATTGGGAGACGCTGTGTAACAAGGAATTGACTACCAGTTGCGAGTACTCTGTCCTTTGAAAAGGAGCGTGATTGCAAAGCTGATGGTGTTTTTCCAGTTTACACCTATTTTAGGTGTTCATGCAAATGCATTTGATTGGACTTACTGAGCCATATAAATGGCATTAACTGACAGCCTCCATATCACCAGACTTTCTCAAAATCTTTGACCTTTTATGTCAACCGCACTTGTATATTCACAGAAATGTGGATTTTTCCAGCCTCGCATCACAAACCCGTGGCATTGTAAGTCCTCACTTTGTCTTCTATTCACAAATTTGTGCTCACAAATGACTATCTCACCTCCAAAGAGAGATGGAATGGAATCGATGAGCCAGCCAAGGGCAACCTTTAATTTATTTACATAGCCGTGGAGCATTTGTGAATTCATTCAGCACTAAAAACTCATTTGAGGCCGTTGTCCCCTCGTCCTTACACTCACACCTGTACAGACGGACACATCTGTTATTAAAATAGTTCCCTGAAACTATAATCCTCTTTTTGTGTAAAGGTAGTAATTCGAATTCAAATGTATTCCCTCAAGCTGAAGAATTATCAAACTTTGTAACTACGCTGCGAATTATTAAAAAGGCATACAGGGTGAGGGGGGAAAGTAAAATCATCTGAGCTCGGAGTTCCTTTTTAACTCTAACAGACACATAAAGCGTGGATGATGGAATTCCAGAAGCCTCACCACAGACATTTTGGGTAATGATACACATCATTTCTGCCTGCAGGCCTGCGCCAGCGACAGCAGACGGAGCTCTACCTGAGAGTTAATGTGTAATGCAGCAGCAAGCTCCGTTATTAATCACATTTTGATGCACTGCATGGCTGAGAAGCTCTGAAATATCACCTGAAATCGTTTACTGATCTAACATTATTAGATTTTTGGTGATCATCAAGTCTGTAGGGAATCTTAAAAGCGTAGTTTTTGTGAATACATTGAAGCGTATATCAAAAGTTGTGGGTTGCAGTCTATTTTTTCCCCCATTACTGCTTAAAGAATGCAAAGAGTCATTTTTTCCTACACGAAGCCACCCACAGTGATAATGTGCAACTAAAGTTCTGGTGAAATTTGTTCAACTGAGTTCTTGTGTAAGTCCCATCAAATATCCAAGAGGAGAGAAATTTAAAATCTGCTCTGCTGCAGTGCTCCCCTTACCTCCCATGTTATTGAACAGATTGATCTGTCAACTATTGATCCCTGTTCCGACAGCCTTATCAGAGCCCAACTTAAAGTACACCTGCGGATGAGGGGAGATTATTAGCGAGTTTGCTGGTTTACCCTGACAGAATCTCAATGTGAATAAGCTTAGACTTGTCAGAGTAGCAAG